TTAACATTTAAAATATTACGCACATACTTTTAAAAATTTGTACACACATAACTTTTAAACCCTTGTCGTCAATTTCCATTGGTATATCTATTAATAAATTACATCATAAGCCCTTAAGTTTATAGGCGTATAATACTTAAATCCCTCAAATTTAAAATATTATATTTAGACAAAAAATACTTCAATCAAAAATAAAATATTATATATTTTAAATTTTACAACTAAAACTCGTGTTCTATTGTATCATTTGTTGAAATAAAATTAATAATAAAAATTTATTTTTTTTAAAATAATTGTAATTAATATGCAATTATACTCTATTGGAATAAAATTAAAAAATAAACAAGGGGTTTAAGTTATTCATAATAGAACATGAATTTTATAACCAAAATTCATGTTCTATTATGTCATTTATTAAAGTAAAATTAAAATTAAAAATTTATTTTTTTAAAAAAATCATAATTCGTATAAAATTATATTATCTGTTGGAATAAAAGTAAAAAATAAATAAGAGGTCAAATTATAATATACACAATATATTCTAACTTTAATAGGGGTAATTTGGTAGTTTAAATGATCAAATTAAATTTCAATAGATAGTATAATTGTATAATAATTATGATTTTTTAAGAAAAAGTTAAATTTTTATTTTTTGATTTTATTTCAATAAATGTTATAATAGAACATGAATTTGGGTTGTAAAATTTAAAATATTTGATATTCAATCTTTAACTGGAATATTTTTAATTTAGTTATAACATTTTAAATTTGAAAAATCTAAGTATTACATGTCTACAAACTTCAGAAGGTCTGAATGTAATTTATTAACGAATATAATAACAGACATTGATGGCAGGGTCTAAGTGTTACATGCATATAAACTTCAAAGAGTCTGTGTATAATATTTTAAATGTTAAGAAATCTGAGTGATTAAGTGACAAACTTTAAGAGGTGAGGGTCTAATTCTCTTTAAACTTTTTTGACCATTTGTTTTTCTGCCATCAGATTTTCTCGTGTTTATATATCTTATTCTTCAATCTCAAACTCAATTCAACTCAATTGATCAATAAAGTAATTTTATGAAGTTTCAGACATTGACCTAAATAAGCTTGAAAAAAAAAAACTTTGATTGTGAGATGAACAACGGGCAAATTGCACTTTATACCTAAAAATATTTTAAATTTCTTACTTTATATCCTAAAAGATTAAATTTTTTATATTATATCATTAATGTATCAAAAGTGTAGTACTATAATTCCTTCTATTAGCTTTTCGTTAGTTTTTTCATCAGTGTCAATGAATTGGCTTGTGACAAAAAAATAACGGAAACTAACAGAAGGGTCATATAATAACACTTTTGATATATTGAGAATACAATGTGAAAAATTTAATTTTTAAGAGTACAAAATGAGAAACTTTAAATCTTTCATAGTGTAAATTACCACAAACTCTTATACAAATTACATATTCAACTCAAATTTCAAACTTAAATGCGTCACTTGAATTCTATTTTTGTACTTAGAATTTGAAATATTAATCAAACTTGTTTTCTCATTTTTTTGGGCTTTCAGCACTTTGCACACCAAAAAATGTCTCAATTTTTATTTTGCACACCGAAAAATTATTTTTGTCACATTGCATCTTGAATATCATAAATTAGTTCTAATGTGACCCTCGAACTAATATCTATTTCAAATTCTTTTAAAAATTGATGTACATGGCAGCAACACATGTGGGTGGTACTGACATGACATTAATTTTTAACAAAATTTGAAATTGATGTTAGTTTGAAGGCCATATTGAAATTAATTTATAACATTTAAAATATAATGTGAAAAAAATAATTTTTCAAAGTATAAAATAAAAACCGAGACTTTTTTTGGTGTGCAAAATGCGAAAAGCCCCATTTTTTTTCTCTCCATGTGAGTCTGTGACCCCCCCGGCCCACCAAAAAAAAAAGGGAAATTTGGAAGTCGGTCCCCTTATATGGACTTAAGTTCGTCAAGAAAACTTATTTGTTATGAAGTCCGTTTTTTGTTAATTTTACCATACTATCCCTTCCCTTTAAAAGTGAAATAAAACTAAAAATTAAAAACTCCTAAATCTTAGGAGTTTTACTAACATTAAAATTTCTTCTCTCTCATATTTATCTATATCCATATAATAAAACAGAAGTGTGTTTGAATTTTATCTCAGTCATATTTTTTTCCTTAAAATCATCACCAATCACTAACCTCACCCATCATCTCTTTGTCAGACTCAAATGTCAAATCGCATCACTTATTTCTATCATATATTTAATCATTTATATATTTCTTTCCTAAAAATATCACATCATACATTTATATCATGTATTTAATCATTTAATATTTGATTAATTTGTAGTTAATATATTTTGAAAAAAATTAATATAATGAGATCAATTTTTTTGCCGCTTGAATTTTATATTTTATCGTGCCTTCAGGCACGGGTTATGACTAGTATCCATATATAGGTTAACAATTTGACTAACATTAAAATTTTTCCTCCCTCTTATCTATTTATATATAGGTTATATATATGTGTGAGTGTGTGTATATATATATATAGTAATATTAAAAATAAAAAATAGTAACATTCAAATACAAAAAAAAAATTATCATTTAAACACAAAAAATAATACATTTAAACACAAAAAAATAGTAACATTTAAACATAAAAAAATTGAAACATTCAATATTAATATTTTTAAAAAATAATAACAGTAACATGTTCAACAAAAATATTAATATGTTCAACAAAAATGGTAACAAGCTTAACAAAAACTGTAACATACTTAACAATAATTATTTCTCTCAAATTCAAACTCAAAAAATAGTACCATTCAAATATAAAAAATAGAAATATTCAAAAAAAAAATAGCAACATTGAATATTAATATTTAGGAAAATAATAGTAGTAACACGGTCAACAAAAACAGTAACATGCTCAAAAATAATAGTACATGAACAGTAGCATACTCAACAAAAGCAGTAACATGAATAATAACATAATAAAAAAAATAGTAACATGAATTTGAATTTTACTATTCAAATTCATAGTAACTTTTTTTTTGTATTCGAATATTATTATGTTTTTTTAATATATATATATATATATATATATATATATATATATATATATATATGTGGATATAGATAGATATGAGAGAGAAAAGATTAATTTCTTTTTAAGGAATGATATTTTTGAGATAGAAAAAAAATAAACTTAAGTCATTACATATAATTTTAAACATGAACTTACTCCCTTATAAGTTTCTTTGCAGGACTTATTTCCAAACAAATATATTTAGGAGCTCTCACTTCTAATTTTCAAAAAAAAAAAAAAAAAGCGAAAATTCCACGCATATGTATAATGATGATTGATGACAGAAAGGTATCAGGGAACCCAATTGGGTGGCTGTGTTTTTTTTAACGAGTAATGCTACTTTGAAACTCATTGATTATCCTCGATAAATTCTTGCGCTAATCTCAAATTGTACCTTTTAAAGATGATTCAAATTTTAATTTATACCATAAAAGTTTAAAAATATTAATTTATATCTTAAAAAATATAAATTTGTAACAATATATATTTTGCCATTAAAAATGTTTGGGCTAATTACAAATTACATCTTCAAAATTTAAATATTCCACATTTATGATCCAAAAAAAATTTCATTGATTAACACTCATTAAATATCTTTCAATTGTGATGTATCATCACACTTTTGTTTCGTGTCGTGTCATTTTGTATCATGTTTGAGTCAATAAAAAAATATTTTTAACACAAAATTTTTTCTTATTGAGTCAGTTGCATTGTGTCGTATATTTTACATTTATAACAATTTTTATAATACTATTTAAAAAAATTAAAATTATAAAATACATAATTTTTACCTACCATACTCGTTAAATAACTATTTTTTTGTCTAAAGTTAGATATGACACGACACAATTGAAAGCGATAAGGATGAAATTTTAGACATGGGCCTCCATGGCCTCGAAGTCCAATAACACCCTGAGAACCCAAAGGCAAGGCTCATTAGCCTCAATGAAGTGCTTCTGATTAGCCCAAGACAGCAGAAAGGGTAAAGTCTAATGACTCCAGAGGACCAGTAGCCCAACCTTGGTCCAATCTAGTACCAGCCAAAGTCTAGTCTGAGAAGGGTGAGCAAAATCTTTGCCCTAGGAGCATCTACCATGCCACGCGTCCAAAGGACAAGGGGACCATCGTTGAAACCTATGACAGTTACAGAGGATGATGGTGCGTAACGATCTAGAGATCATGCACACAATAGCGCCGGCTAGCGGAGGCATTTGCAAAATAAGGACGAAAGGTCCCCCACAGGATCAACAAAAAGGTAGGAGGAGCCACCAAGAACCCTAGAAAGAAGGACCGGTATAAATAAAACAGAAAAAACCTACCAAAGCTCTCTCCCCTGGCTGAATCCACTCTCGACTGTATTAACTCAGCCCTAGACGTATAACAGACTAAGCGTAAGACATTGTAGAGACTCAGAGCCACTAATCTCGAGATACACATCTGGTCTTAATATACAACCTTAAAGAGCAAGAAATTCCATTATAATGGATGTAGCCTTAGTCTCTTGACTTAGATGAACCACTTACACTCAGTTTCTTCTGCTATTTGCAAATCAATCTTTTCCCCCGTTAAACTCACCAATCTAAGCAATAGCACGTTAATCGGGCCTCGACCATTATTTTTGAGTAGCTATCAAAAGTTATTTAACGAGTATTAATAGATAAAATTCTTTTTAGAGCATAAATCAGGCTATAAATTAAGATTCGAGCGATGTTTCAGGGTGTAAGGTAGGATTAGCCCTATATTCTTTACTGTACAAAGAAGCATTACAACAAACAGGAAGCAAACAAATGACTCACATCATTGCAACAACGCATCTCCAGTGAAATCTAATTTCCACCACTTGGCAACAATTACTTTTCATAACACTTACCACACTATTTATTACTCGGGCATTCTGGGTGATTCTTCGATTTGTCAGAACAGTAGTCATAGACCAGATGTGCTTTTCTAACTTGTTCGTACTGTTGTTTCTGAACAGGGCTGAGTTCCCAGTGCTCTCTCTTGTTCCACTCATACTGGAGAGAATAACACTGCTGAGAGATTGACTTTTGCTGGGTTGGGCAGCCATCTATGTTGAAGTATTGGTAGTGAGCAATGAATGGTGCTTGACTCCAGTTAACCTGTCCTGCCCAATCCGCCTTCCATATGCTTGCCTCTATTTGCATTGGATTTGATGGGTAGTTCACACCAAGTGCTGTGTTGTTCTTGAACACTCTGATGGGTATTTTGTCCACGAAGAACCTGGTAGAGAGAGAGAACCCAGAAAATCTACTTTATGGGAAGAATACAGTAATGGTTGTAGATGAAAGATACCCAACTCAACAAATTCTTGTCCTAATATTTTTTTGATCAACTACATAAATCATGTTATGGCCATTGAATTTTATCAAAGGGTCGTAGATGAATGATGTGCGTATCAAATTTCTTACCAAATGAATGTGTGTGATAGATCATTAAATTCGGGCCAATAATTGAGTAAGACTACTCGGGCTTAGTTCATTTTAAATTCAATTCGAGTTTGAACAATTTTTTAGAATATCTTCAATTCTTACCCTTTTTTAAACTCAAATTTAAATTTGAGAAAAAAAACTCCCAAAAACTTTCTCCATTGCTTGACCCATACTCATATTCAACGAAGGTAGTCTCATTCTTTTACTAAAATTAAGAGAGACTCAAATTTATACCATAATATTTAATTGTGAGATTTTACTCTCCTCTAAAGATCTAATGGTCATATTTATTCTTTTTTAAATTTGTGTTTGACCTATTTAAATTTGGGTTTCTCTTTTTTTACATTTGAGTTTCTCCATTTGAGAGGTTTACACCAAATCAAGTTTTTTACCCTTTTTTTTTTTTACTCAAATTTAGTTAAGGGTTTGAATTTCTATTGAAAATAACCTTTGACTTATTTAAAAAAAGGAACTCGAGGGACTCAGCTCGAATTATCAAACCTAACCATATTACAAGGAACATGATTAAGCAAAGGTGGTTGAATAATTCTTACACTATTTGGTATTGGTTCCAGAGAATTTCGTAAGTGTGAAAATCCTTTGTAGGATCAAACCAGAGCTGAAACTTTTGCTCTCTATGCCCATCATCATTAGCAAACACATTTGTTTGTAATGTACCATTGGTGCCCAGAAACTCGAAGTCAATCTCATCATGAAGCTTTTGATCTTTAAAATCTGGGGCCGAGGTCAGCTGTATTCAGATAAACACCAATGTAATCACATATTCTTAAAGTTTGTTAATTTCTTTGTATAAACAATAATAAGCAAACGAGAAAAAAAAAATATTACATAAAAAGTTGAGAGAATTCCTGCAGTTTTTTTGTCTGATATCTTCATCTTTATGCGAAATAATCCAGAGCCATACACCAACTTGGACCTGAATCCGGATCCTGCATGCATAGCTCCAAAGAAATTAGATGAAACATGTAAATGTTATGTCTAGCTCTTGCACACACACACACACACTCTCTCACGTAGACATAGAAAAAAGTACAATATTGTATATATTGATGGTTTGCGTATTCGATGCACATTTATGAATGTATTATAAGAATGGTGAGGCCAATATCTCATGCCCTCCCCAACCCTATTTCATTTTTCTTGTAGTGTAAGAGAGAAAATGTGATAAAGATGACAAGTTAAAAAGGAAAATAGTGAATGAAATTAAAAAAGATAGAATTGCAAAATAAGAAGCGATTATATTGGCAATGTTACAGAATAAGAGAATGGTTGTATCGACAACGTGGGTGAATTGAATTGAGAGAAACTAGTTTTTAAAATCTAATAATCCAACATTTCTCTTCCTAATTTGATCACTTTATGTATCAGTAAATAAATACGTGGAGAGAGATTACGCACACACACGCGTGCACACGTGTGTGTGTGAGAGAGAGAGAGAGACCTGAGGACTTATCCAATAGAAGTTGCACTTCACTTCCTTGATTAAGTAGGGTGAAATGATTTAACCCCCACAAAGCAAAGTAGTTTTGATTAAAGGTATTATCAGCTCCATTTGCACCCATGAGAACACCACAAATGAGAATTCCAAAGAGATTTAATAAAAAGGAGGCCATTGAGAGAACCAATGACCCCAACCTCTTCTTAGAGGTTCTAACTATAACTATGAGGAGTCGTGTGCTTAGGTTTCCAATTATATATAATTAAACAATGACCCAGGTTTCTTGTAGTTAAATCAAATCCAAAACTAATTAAGGGAGATCTGCTTAGACATTGCATTAAAGATTCTAATAGTGACTGGCACTGAAATAGGAAAATTACATTTCCACATTGGAAGACCATCACTATATATCCCCTTATATGAAAAATAAGTGAAAAAATAAATTAATGTGATGGATTTAAAATGCTGGATTGAATTGGTTAAAATCGAAGCATTTACACACATGCACCTCCTATGCCCTCCCTCCAACACGAACTTAGACACACGGCATATTGAACTCTCGAATATGCTCAGTTTCAGAGAGAATTCATAAATCTCCATTTTCATCGAAAATTGAATGGAATTTTCTCGTATTTCGATCGGAGAACCTAACAGAAATATTACTGTACAAATTCTGGCCAAAAAATGAGACATTCCATATTCTTAGAGAGTGTTTTATTGTGCTAGGTCACTGACATATCCATGTGGTCTAACTTACTTCTACATGTGTATTTGAACATGTCCAATGGTGGAGATGGAGGCGATTGCCAATAGAAGTGAATGAGAGACGGTGAGGGGAAGAGAAAGTAGGGAGGGAGAGGGAGAGGGAGAGGGAGAGGGGGACGTACACTTGTACTCTACTGACAAAAAAAGAAAGAAAGTGAAGTATAATTATTATATTTGATTTGTGATTATTTATTTGGGTTTATTCTCAACCCAATTTGACATATCAAACATAGGATTTGTGGGGTTCCACGTAGAAATGAAATTGCTCAGCAGGAGTCTTTTTATCCGTCGTCAGAGGCTGATGTCATGAATCCCACAATCTAAACATGGCCCTAGTATAAATAAAAAAGATGGTAGTTATCAATATCTAATTAGTTTAACCTGAATTGCATTGTATATACAAAAAATTGTGGATATGTGTCGTATAAATTACTTATTTGCGAAAAAATATATTGTTGACACTCTATTGCAAATAAGTACTACTAAGTATAAATTTATTATGTCTACATACACAATGACAGTTTTTAAAATTTTTCTTTTGCTGAAATATCATTTTTCATAATTTATAGACTGTTTAGTTTGACAATTCCCTTTTTTGTGGGATTTGTTTTATTAAATCAATGGTTTCCTATTTTAGAAGATTAGTATATTTGAATTTTAAACGTATATTATCTTCTTCTACCTCGACGGCGGGTGTTGATTTGCTTTCTTAAAATTTCTTCCACATAGATATAATTTCTCTTCTTTACGTTTGTATGTAATTGATTCTATCTAGAATTCTCTTCCCCTCTATTAGTTGTAAATTCTAGACTAAAATCTCACCATTGCACGATTTCAACAAAAGAACTAAAATTTGAAAAAAAAGGTATCCATAGATTTCATTCACCCACATATTGCATATTTCATTCATATTTTCAAAAAAAAAAAAAACTTTGATAAAATCACAATAATCTGGGACAAGAAGTTTGTGTTTTTTACATAGTGTGACATCTATAATCCGACAAGCACATATATTGCTTTTAAAGAATGATAATGTTACATCATAGTGTAACAACACAATAAACACTATTGTATTTGTCACTTTGTGAAAAAAAATTAAATTAAATTTCTTGATTCGTACAGTATGGGTAAAATAATATGCTTGTAACAATATGATGTCATACTATGCGATGCATGCCATTTAGATTGTGTATAAATTAAAGAATGTAATTGCACATCTTTTGTCAATAATTAAAGAGGTTATTAGGTTGTTACATTGCCATGTCACACTGATTCATATGAATCACTGTGTGTCTAACACAGTCATTTTATTCACACAGGTATGGTGACATGATTTTATCAATCTATAATTAGTTACCTCGACATTGTCGGCGATTACAATTGAAAAAGTTGACGATCGAACTTCAAAGGTGCTCCATCGTATGTACACCAATTTCCATGGGTACGCTGCCTAATTTTTTACTGTTTAAAAACCCAGTAGTTTGAGCCGGTTAGTTTTTATTGTGGGTATATTTGATATTTACAAATAAAAAGGACATCTACACAAATAGTTTTACCCGAAGAAATTTTACACAATTAAGTCCTAAATTGTGTATCAAAACTACAAAAATCCCTCGTATATATATGAAACTTGGCCCACCAAGCCAACCAACCCATTATTACCCTTTCTTATTGACAATATTAATGGGCCACCAGTTTAACCTAAAGGATTTCTTATAGGTCGGTACTTTATGTAGAACTTATTTACATAAAAATCCTTCAATTAAAATATTTTGTGGAGAAGTCCTCTTTTTTTTTGTTCCAAAAACATCCACAGAAGTAACTGAACATACGCTTATCTATCTTTGAAAATTGTCGGATTCCATTCACCATCTCCACAAAATTCGGCCACTAATCAAGGCCCCAAAACTCGATTTTTCAAAATTTGAATAAACTTCCTCAAATTCCTTCGGTTTTCAACCATAAACAAACTACAATCCTCAAAAAATGAATTAAGAGTTTTCTATTTTAATGGGACAATGAATTTGAATTTTTAAACAACATTTTCTTTCCTTTTCTTAAAATCTCTCCCACAGATTTATAATTTTCCTTTCCTAAAATCACTCCCACATAGCTATAATTATATTCCTTATGTTTGTATATATTGATTATATCTAGAATTCTCTTCCCCTCTATTAACTGTAAATTTTAGCCTAAAATCTCTCCATTAATTAGTTGAAATTAATGTCACTTTACATTTTTATGCTATGATGTAACATAGTAACAATGTCATTCATTAAAAGTACTATTTATGGATGTCATATTTGTGATATCACATTATGTGATGCATACCATTTAGATTATATATGAACAACTTTTTGTTAGCGATTAAAGTATTGATGAATGTGTTACACTGTTATGTATCACTACAATGTAACATTATAGATGATGATGACCCTAGCTTCAAAACAGACGTCGATTTTGTTTAGATCCTGCGTCGTTTTTAGATGATTTAAATGTTCAAAAAAAAAAAAAAAATCGTTCATACTACGAAACTGCCTATCAATAAAACCAAATCCTCATATAAAAAGCAACTGCCAAAATACAAACACTATAAAAATAGGGAAAGGGTATTATAGTAAAAAAAAGAATAAAAAAAATGTCATTGTGTATCTCTCTATAATACATTTCAACATAATGGTACTTATTTACAACACATTTTTTTCAAGGTCATTTCTCACAAAAAAGTTTTCCACAGGTTACCTACTCGTACATTTCCCTAACCTAAAAAAGTGTGAGCCAAAAAAGGGGTGCAACACCTCTCCTGTTAGGCAAAAACAGCACAGTGTGTTGTTTATAGGAAACAGTGTCATTTTAATTAAGTTTTGCAGTTAAAAATTTTTCTCCAAAGAAAAAATGAGACAAGCCTTTAAAGGTTCCCCTTTTCGCCCTTTCTTGGGTGTGGCTCCTCTGCAGTTAGACAAAAACAACATGGTGTGCTGTTAGAGGAAACGTCCACGTTTTAATTAAGTTTTGCACAACAAATTTTTTTTCCGAAGAACAAAGCAGTGGAGCTAGCTCTTCGTAACCCTTGCCAAGCTCCTTTGCACAAAAGCTTGCACATTCCAGACTCCTCTCTCTCTCTCTCTCTCTGCCGCGCACACACACTCAATCTTACTGCTAATTTCACTCCAACAAATCCTTTCTCTACAAAATTAACAGAAGTTATCACCCACTAAAACCCTTTCACGATGTTTATCACACCAATTTTGTTGATAGTTCTTTCAGCAATCATTCTCCTCACCAATGAATGACTTTCAACATCAACATTAGACCTGGCTCATTTTCAAGAGAAATGCACCACTCTATTTTGCAAATGTAGATTTATTTCCTTAATTCGTTAAATATGAATTTGATGTAAACACTTGGTACTTGATGTAAAAGAGGGAGGGTTAAAAGTGGAGTTCTATAATGGTAAGGTGGAGGGGGATGAGTTTTCCAGTAGGGATATTGTAGAGGAGATGATACAATGGCTAGGCGAGACTTAG